TAATGATGTCCAACCAATGATCAATGGATACAGGAACACTGCAGGTAATGATGGCCTGAGAGCACACGCTGTAACTGCACTGATGATGTGACATGAGGGAGGAGATATAAGAAGGCAGCAGACCAACAGACCAAGGAATACAGAGTGCAGTGATGGTAGTTACAACCAGTTATGAATCTTAGTGCACCATAATAGACAGCATCCAACATCTGCAAGGAGCTGGCAGGGACATTCATGTAAATAATGTCACCACAAATCAATGGCTGGTAGAAGAGTAGCAGCTTCAAGGCGTTTCCTAGCATTCAGTCAAACGAGTTCTATTTTCGAAAAAGAAACCCAGTTTCCATTTCAGTTTATTAAGTTTTTAACATGTGGCTTAAAAGAGAGACATGCATGAATTAAAATTCCCAAGAATTTGTAAGAATCATGACCTCGGTTTGCTTTCCTTTGTTTTCTGAAAAAAAAAAAAAAAAAACTTTTTAGAACTAATCTATATAAAGGTATATTCTTAAATATAACCAAAGATCTGAATAAAACTTGACTGTTTTTCAAAAACATTTAAACTGGAAGCTGGTAAATGCAATTGTAGATCGTGAGATTGAGTGCTTGCGTATAAGTGTTAGATGAAATTCACACGATTGCTAATTTCTTCTTGGAAAAACTGACTCAATTTAGTGAATAAATGTGTGATGATACAAACAGAAATGTTTAGTGTGTTGTCAAAAAGAAAGTTCAAGCCAAATAGATGTTTTGGTACTTTATTTGAAGATGTATGGATGTTGTATTCAATCAAGAACATTCTGAATTTCTTTCAGAAAATCTTCAAGACTGAGGTGCTTATGCAAGTTAGGACAAAGAGAAATTAGGAGGGAACAGCTCTTAAACCACTTGATTTATTGTGCTTTGAGTCTTTTACAATAATTTGTTGGCTTTGGCATGAAGATTGCCTCCGTGTGATTGACAGTTGTGTTCTGATGTATTAACAGACCTTTAAGGCCAAAATGTTGAATGAAAAAAAAAAAAAACCCACAGCTTTGAGCATTAAAAAGTTAACATTGTGCAATTCTATGTAAATGTCACTTGAGATTACATCACCTATTGGTGACATAGAGGTTATTGTGTCATTTTCTCCAGCTAAAGGAACAAATAGCTTTCTTCTTCAAACTGCTTTTAAATGAATTGAGTGTGAGATCCTGCAGAGCCGAAGCTGAGATAAACACTGACAGAGAAAGAGATAGAAGGGATTGTGTCGGTTTTCTCTACCCAACACCAAATTAAAGATCTAAGGAGGAGATAAAACGAGATAAGCAAATGAGAGAATTCCTCTCATCACCTCGTTAACAATAATGAATGAAAGCAGGATATTTAAGGGGAGAAATGAATTAGTGTGAAAGAATAAGATTAGAGCAGTAAACGGTACAAAGCATACTTCCAGTTCACTTTTCTTTAAAAATAAAGCTTAAAAAAATGATTATCTAATGCTTTTATCTATAAAATGGAAATAAAAGTTAACAACTCGTTGCATAAAAGTAAGGCTGACTTCACTTGACAGTTTTAGTGACTGAGACGTGAAGCTCCCGTATAGAACAGCGTGCAAAGTAAAAAGCTAAGTCAACATCTTGTTAAATTTTTGTCCTTTTTTTTTTATTTAAAGTTTTTTGTCAAAGCATTCATCATTTTCTAAAACTTCAAAAAAGGTTTCAAACAGACAAGATTTGTGGAGCTTGTTCTTGTTCACCAAATATATCATGCACCTAGATTACTCTATATAACCAGGATTATTGACTTTTTATGGTGATGTGGAAGCTTGGAGTTTAATTCCTGTTATTCTGAGGCTGCAGGATCAAGCCCAGGTTGCATCAAGAATGGCATCCGGTGTGAAACAGTTGCCAAACCTTTCATGTAAGTTTGCTCCCAGTGGCGACCCCTGCATAAAGAAGAAGCCAAAAATAAAAAATAAATCTTTCTTTTTTACTACCGTACTTGCCGCTGTACGTGTCGCACCACCATTCAGTAAGTCGTATCAGTCTGAATATGTTTAATAAAGTGGAAAAAAAAACATAAATAAGTCGCTTCACCGTATAAGTTGCATCTATTATGCGTCAACGCTGACCACCCAGAAATGTGGGCCGGTGTTGTGCCAAAAATCGATTGGCTGCCAAATGGTGGTTGCGGGAGCGTACACGGGAGGACTTTAACAATAATTTAACAAGATTAACACTTAAAAACAATTATTTGTTTGCTCAAAATTATAGCAAAGGTGTGTCTCAGTTGAACTTTTCTTTAATAAATGAATTAAAAAAAACGTTCAATGCAAAAACAACTGAACTTTAATAAATGAACTTTATTGGTAAAATCAGCTGCATTTCAAAAGCCAATTTGCAGAAGCGGGATTGTGCAGAAGGCGGGCTCTGTGCATTTTGTCGAAATTTAACAAGATTAACACCTAAAAACAATTATTTGTTTGCTCGACATTATAGTAAAGGTGTGTCTCAGTTGAACGTTTCCTTAATAAATGCACTTTAATGGTCAAATCAGCTGCATTTCACCTGAGCGGAGCGGCAAATTGCAGCTGATTTCACGTTTGCTCCGGGAGTTCCGGAGCGAGACGAAGGCGGCTGTATGGCAAGCCAAGTGTCTCATTAATAGCCACTTTTACCTATTAATGAGACACTTGGCTTGCCATATTAGTCAAGGGCCCTCTAGTGGCTGAAAATGGTAGTGTTCACTATTTTCCATATCAGAATGAATGAAATAGTCAGATCTTAGCCAAAAATCAGGTTATAAATATGGGAAAAAAACAAATTAGTCGCTTTGGTGTATAAGTGTCAGAACTTACAAATTTATGCACAAAGGTGTGACTCATACGGCAAAAAATATGGTATTAATATCTTCAGGGAAAAACACCACACAGATGTAACAATTTTCTTTTATTTAATCTGTTAAAGACCATCTAATCACCAACTACACCCGCATATTTGAGCTCTGCCCTAACCCTTTACTTATTCTGGAGGGAACAATTTGATACCAACTCTTACAGTAGCATTATTAGGAACAAATCCAAACTGTATTAACATCAAGGCCAAAACATAACTCTTGAGCATATTACTCACTGCAGTACTAAAGTACACAACCAATGGCTGGAACCAGACCCCTCCACATATGGATACAAAAGGTGTGGGACATTTTATCTAATGGAGCAAATCCCATACTCATAGGCTACAGAAATCCGTCTTCTCCAAAACAGTGGAAACCCATGTTACTTTTATTATTACAGCGAGAAACACCATCTGCTCCAACTGCTCCCTTTTCCTGCACACGTGCACGTCGCATGCTGCCCCATTAAGAGCAGGAGAGGCTGTAGGCATCTACATGTGTTTTTTGTAGAATTGCAAAGTAGTCGTGTATATTTTTCCTGCTCCTATGTTTTCTCTCTTTGCCATGCCTTGTTGCTTGGCACCTGAAGGTGCTCATTTCAAAATTGTATGAATTAATGTTTAAATGTTTACAGAAGGAACAAAAATTGTATGAGGAGTAAACATTAATTAAAATAGCAAATAAAATTGTGTTTAAAAATGACCATCATAAACAATGATGTGATCATCGGTGTAGCTGCAATTATTAAAGTCATCAGTAACCACAGTGACTCAGTGCCAATGATCTATAATAATCACATTTAAAATTTTTAATCTGTCTTAACTGTAAAGCACTTTGGTCAGCTTTTGTTGTTTTTATGTGCAATATAAATAAATTGACATTGACATTGACATTATCTATTATATCTAGATCTATTATAATAATATTATAATTATATTATGCGATCTACACTTTTGAAATTGGACAAGGCTGCAAGTCGAATGCCCAGAAATAGTTTCCAGCACATGAAGACAGTTCTTTGCTTTCAACATAAACAAAAACAAACACCGAGTTCAGGAAAAGATTTATTAGGAAATAATCTTTAAAACATGTGTCAGTTGGTTTATGTAACAATTTTACAGACAGGGTGTGAAAGTTAGGACATAGTCCGTCAAGGATTTTGCTCTTTTCTAAAATAAAAGGTTTTTTTTAGCAGCTTTATTTTTGAGGTTTTGAGGTGACATGTTTACAAAAAGGTTTACTTTTAAAATCGTAAAGGCAGCTCTTAACTGAATTTGAGCCACTAATTGGGATTCTAGTGAGATTATTACCCCCACAATCAGTTTTTAGCAATTTTCTTGCTGTCATTCTATAAACGACTTTGCTTTCGAGCTTCCTTTCATTTACTTTACTCTCATTTTCAGCCATGACACCTGCTGACATCATTTCATTTTGATGTTTGCTCCAAAATTTACGTTCTTAGTACAGTGCACAAAAACAAATCATAATGTTGTCCTGTGTCTGTGTGCTCAGTCATACACAGCCTTATGTTTATCATCTCCTCTACATGTTGCATTATTCATAAATAACAAAATAAATGAACCCTTCTTTCAGAGACAGATGGTCTGGCATATGTTCGCCTACCTGCTCCCCTCTTCATGGCACACTCATGGCCCAAACAAACCCACCCAGAGCCTTGGTTTTTTTTTTGGCTTCTTAATAAACCTATAGGAAAACGAGAGTGATGGTGAGAGGATTAGCTTAGCAGCATGGTGGAGTTAGCCTGTGTGTGTGTGTGTAGTGGTAATACTGGAGCTCCACTTATTGACTGGGCCTCAGTTCAAGTCCCACTAAAACAAATGCCAGGCAATGACACGAGGACTCCACAGGTGACACAGTTCCTCCTGATCTGGCTCCCAGCGAGCATGCTCCCTGTGTGTGTTTTCTTTTGCATTAAGAGGGGGCCGGGAGCCAGGAGGTGGCATACAGCAGCGGTGATGACAGGGCAGGGCTGTGATGAAAACAACAGCTGCAGAGATCCATAGAGGAAAAAATGGTGAAGAATTGTTTTTGGAGAAAAGTTTAGACGCAGAGTTTTTATATAGCTCTGCTGAGCAGGGAAGAAGGAGGGTGCTCAGTAGCAACTACAGCAGTCCTGTCTGCAGCTGCGTAGAGATGAGCAGAATAGAGAAAGAAAGCGAGTGGAAAGCATCGCGATCCCCTGAAGACCGCGTTACACCAAAGTAAGCCACCTGAGCTGCAGAATAAAAGGAGAAACCGACAGAAGGTAGGAAAATGTTAGTGTGCTGATGGACAATTCATAAGTAAGTCGTGTAAGATAAGGGCAGAGAGGAGAAACGGTCAGGAAAATGTTAAGCCTTGACGCAAAATCAGTGTAATTAAGACATCCTAATGAATTTCCTACTCTTCCTTTGTTCTTCTGATCGTGATAATCTAGCTATAAGTCTCTGTCAGGACCACTCACCCACACAGGTTGACCCGTCATCCTTGGGCTCAAAGCCTTGGTTGCATTTCCTTTTGGCACGGCACTTATAGCTGCCGTGGGTGTTGGTGCACACCGGGCGGTCGGAGGGGCACACAGAGGGGAACTGGGTACATTCATCTTTATCTGAAGGGAGGGTAAAGGTGGGGAAGGCGAAGACACTTAAACCGGGAGACAAGAGACGAGGTTCAACAAAGGAATTAAAAGTTTTATCTTACCTGTGCAACGCCCATGCTCATTCAAAGAAAATCCATGACCACACTGTAAAACAAGATTATTTTATTTGTTTATCCCTATAACATGTTGGTAAAGATTATTGCATTCTCTTTTGTAATTTTGTCAACAATTGAAGACTCTCTTGCACTCTAAATGGTACATATACCTGGTGCTGGATCAAACCTGGTGGTTTTTCTTATTTGTTTTTTTAAGACGTAGAAGACAATAATACACCAGTCAGAACTGAATCGCATATTGTCTTCATAAAGAGTACAACATATTTCTTATTATTTTCGCTGATCTCTTTAGCATTCACTTCCAAATCATCCTCCTCTGTCACACCAATCTGCTTGTCCTCCTTCATCTATGAACCACCACTGCGGTCTTCCTCCTTTCTGGCAGCTCCATGTACAACGTTCTTTGACCAACGCATCCATCCAGTCAAAAACATCCCAACCTTGCTCTTTAACATTGTCTTCAAACCACTCAACCGATCTGTCCCAGTGTCATTTCTAATCCTGTCCATTTTGGTCCTCCATCCCCGGGCTTTGTTCCACTAGCTCCCTACTCTCACTGCCATCTGTGATTAAACGCCTGTATTAACAAACAAGAACCTATAACTAGGTCTGCCGTGTACTATACTAGTATATTTTGGATGATCAAAAATTAGCCGAGTAATACTATAATTCAGTACCTCTATTTTCACAGTAGGAGTAACTTCATCTTCATCTCTTGGATAGTGGATCTCCAGAACTGAGTTGATCTCTGAGGACACCAGGGGACGGGCTATAGAGCGTCCATCAGGCCAGTACACCTCGACATTTGTGGCAATATCCTTACCTGTTAAGGTAATCATGATTTAGATTAATTATTAAACACACAAATAACATAACCTCAGTTAATCACCGAGGGATCACAAGTACCCTGTTGATAATGAATCTTCCACCTTTGCCTCCTTTTTCATAGACTGTGCAGACTGAGTGGTGCTTTCCTCTCTTCATTAACTGTTTTAATCAGGCACAGAGAAAACTCATCTCATGATGGGACCCTTTTGAGGCCTTTAATTAAAGGGGCATTTCTAATATAAACAGCTCTTTAGTCACCATGCCAGACAGGTGCACCATCTGAGAGCCAAATGGCAGTTCACCTGATCTGAACCTACTTGAAAGCCTTTCATATCTTACACGACTGCTAACAAAGTCTGGAGGAATTTTCAATGCCTCCAAACTATTTTCAGGTAGTTTGGCTGCTACCTTCTTCAAGGGTCGCCACAGTGAGCGATTGCACATGAAAGGTTACCAATATAGACTGAAAGACTGCGGCACTGACGCTGCACAGCCCCACTGTCAGTATTTTATTAATGTGGGTAATACTGTGAGGCCTACAGTAGCTGATCTGTGACTGCACACCCCTAATGCACTGAGTAGAGCCAAGGCAGAAAGTCAACAACCAAGCCTGAATGGCCACCAGCGAACTGCCCCACAGGAGAGCTGGGGGGAGCTGGCCTCCATCTAGAGCACCTGTCCTCTTGCTCACACGCCTTTGTCCAAAAAAGCTTCTTCCCACAGGCAAAGTGTGCTACTGTGGTTTTCTTATTAGGCTTTAGGTGGTTAAAATGTTTGCTTTTTACTGATAATCCCTCAAAAAAGTCAAGATTTCTTTCTATGAATCAAATGGACACAAGCAGTCTAAACGTGGAATAGTTCAGAAAACAACAAACATGCTCATCACAGATCTTTTCTTGCACTTCTTTAGCTAAGAGATGTGGTCCCTAAACATTTTAGCTCTTGAAAACGTGGGCTTACCAAGACCAAAGTGGGCAACAGGCTCCATCTCACACAGGTACCCTGAACCACCATCAATAATCCTTGTGTGTGGGCCGCTCTTCTTTGTGTAAACCACCACTTTAGCTCCTCTGGCAAAAGCCCCAAACTTGGTACGGGGAATTACTCGCAGCCAGGAGTTAGTTTGGCCCTAAGACAAAAACAGAAAGGGGAAGGAGATGGAGTGAGGCAGGTGAGGTGAAGCTGAAGCATGCTACTGATTGTCTGATGATTCTGAACCCTCACCTGGTTGACTTTGTAGACAGAGAGAGGCTGAGCTGCACTTTCACCATGAGACACGATCAGTTCCAGATGTCCATCACCATCAAAATCTGTAGCTACAGCTCCTGCAGAGGAAACAGCCTTTAATGACATCTGTCCTCATGCCATGGAAATACAGCCATGTCAACAGTTTATGGCACTAATGATTATGAAGGAAAGCATGAGGATACTTATTTCTCAAATGGTGTGTTAGTGCCATCTAGTGGTTTGATGTGGTATAAGCAAGTACAAGATGAAGCACATGCAAGTATTAGACTTCTAAGTCAGACTTAGAATGGTCAAATTTATGAGAGCATTAAAAACTACAGAAGTAGGAATATTAATAAAGTATGGTTTAAGGCAGATCTTCTATCTTGGACAATATTATATTTCACAGGTAAGCAAGTAACAGATATAGTAGAGCCAAATTTGATCACCAGTTCCTCGTCCTTCGGGCTCTGCAGCCTCCCCGATATTGAGCTCTTCTATCTGGGGGTCTCCATGTTCTCTCCTGCTCACCCTGTCAAAGAAAATTCTCAAAATTATCTGAATTACTACTAAAACAACTACAGTCACTATATAAACATAACAGCTGTGATATATCCACCCATACATTTTTTAATCTGCATAATAGTCAAATAATGGAATTTCTATTTGCATTTGTTAAGCAATTATGGTTTATAAATTGTAAATGTTCTAATTTTCCGACCTGCTCTTTGCCTTGTACCTGTAATTTAAGTTGTCTTTGGTGTTCGTTGTGGTTTCTATGTTTGGTTTTGATGCTTTTATTTCTTGACCTATAACTTTACCTTTGCCTCCTAATTTGTACCCTAGGTTGTTTTGGTTTTTCTTGATTTCTGCTCTCTCTTTTTACCTGATTTGTGTTCATCTCACCACAGACATATCTTAGTGTACAGTTAGTTTTCAGTCCTCCTCTGTGACTCAGATCCATATCCAGGTTGAACTGTGTGTTTTTCACAATATGCTCAGCCAATATATTTCTACTCACAGCATGAAAAGCATAAAAGTCACAGCATAATACAGCCCAGTTTCTGGAGATATCAGGTACATACATGGTAAATTCCACGTACATACTTGTAAGTACGTCGCAAGTATAACCTTTGTACATTTTATTGTTGTGTGTTGTATTTTATTGTTAATTTTCTTGTTTTTTCTGTGGCTCAAGATGCTTTTTTTTTATCTTGTTGTTTTCATTTTAATTTGACAAAGTGTAAAGCACTTTGGTCAGCTTTTGTTGTTTTTAGGTGCGATATAAATAAATTGACATTGACATTGTGCACTGTAATAAAAAGGATAACAAGTCAGTTTATAATACAGCCTGGTCCAGGTACACATAAATGTTAAGTACCAGGCTTGTACCAGATAAGTGCTAAATTTGTACCAGGTACATGCTAGGTACATACCCAGTAAATACCAGGTATGCATCCTGTACCCTTTATTATAAAGCCCAGTCCCTATACCAGGTACAAACCTGGCTCTTTCCAGGTTTGTACCTGGTACCCTGTACATACAGGAAAACAATTCCCTTCACATTAAAGCCTGGATCTGTAGGTACCAGGTACATACCTGCCAAGCACCGAGCTGTGTGATGTACTGCCAACAAACCTTACTCTGAGCAGCAGGAATTGCTCTACTGGGACAGCCTGTTTGGTGAATCAGATTACTATCTAGACTGTTATTACTGTCTGCACCTGTAAGCGTGAATAAATGAAGCATGCTCGGTGAGCCTTGAGGGGAATATTACCACTCCTGCTGCTCATTAGATGCCTGGTTTCACTTGTTTGTTTGCGGCTTTTGCACTAATTAAAAAAAATAAAAGCCTTACGTTCCCATTTATTGTGTTTAATCTTCATTTTATTTTGTAACCTAACAAACTGCATGACATCACGGCATAATGAACTGATATAAATTTATTGTTTTGTCATGTGTATAAAATATAAATTGTATACAATATCTCTGTTCTTATTGGTCCATATTGGTAGTTGTGCTTAACATTTCTAATAAGTAAAAAAAAAATCCTGTTTACAGGGAGTAAAATTATATTTTTTAATTAAACATTTAATTGATTTTAAACTTTTAAAAAAATACATCAAAAGCTAACTTTTAGAATTTGACACCTGCAGTAACCCTCATTACTGACTGTTCTCTGATTTAGCTCAATACTGACATCAGAAAAAAGTGACTGAAACAAACCGTGCACCAAACCAGCCATCATGTAACTTTATTATCTAAAAATATATACATACCTGTACTTCCATAATTTTAAAAACTTAATTTTTCAGTGCATAATGTGCTAATTATGGCTGTTAAAGCCCAAAGCACCAATAAATGTTGATTTGATGTATTGGACAAATTAACTTGTTCAAGCTTTTTGTTTTTTTGTGCCAGAAAACAAGATATATTAGTTAATTCATCTTTTTAACAGACTATATCAGAGCCACAGGCTGTGAAGTGCTGACCCATGGGACCAGTGAGTTGCTGTGCTAAAAAACATTTTAGTCTAGAAATTCTCCGGCACGTGGACTGATGACTGATACTCAGTGTAAACTGAACTGTTGAATCCTGTTCAAACGAATCTGCCAGATCAGATTTTATTCACACAGGAAAAGTTGATTGTGCTCTCAGTAAACTGATCACATGATTTGCACATTTTCAGCAGAATGCTAATTAATATTATCAGAAGGGAAACCAAACAAGAGAAAAAAGATGTAAAACTGTTTTAATGAAACATTTATTCATGCGTGAGGAGGAGGAGGCAGGACGCCAGACTTGATAAGTATTTAAGCAGGAAATTTCATATTATTTTAAGCTTCCAAGCTCTGCAGCAGAATATTAAGTCAGATCAAAAGTGCAGTCCATTAACCCTAGAATTAAATTTATATTTAAGTGAAATATTAGTTCACTACACTTGCTTGCACCAAACATTATAGTTTGTACAAGTGGTTATAGCAGTGGCTCTCAAAGAAGCAGTCAGGACCCCACTGTGAGCCAAGAAATGCCCAGTGGGGGATGTTGAAAGGATTTTCTGTAATCACATGAGACTTAAAAATTATTCAAAGCTGCAAATTTTGCTATATTTTAAAGACATAAACCGTCATCATAACTCAGTTCAAACTGTATAAAAGGTTGGTTATTTGTTCCTCATTTGCTGGTGTTTATTCAATTCAATTCAAAAATATTTTATTAATCCCAAAGGGAAATTAGGTGTTGTTGCAGCTTATCATCCTGGTTTCATTCAAGAATTGTTATAGATGCTGATAGCTGTGAGCAGGAAGGATCTTCTGCAGTGAATCCGAAGAATCTGTCCACAGATACCGATCCGTCCACCTGGATCCAGCTTGCTGTCAGATCCGGTGGGCCTCTTGATCCTCCTGGACAGCAGGACTGACCGAATGCCGGGCAGAATTTCTCCCTGAGCAATGGTCACTCCTCCCAGCAGTCTGCCGAGCTCCTCATCGCCACGGACGGAAAGGTGCAGGGGGATGATCCCGGTCCTCCCATTGTCACGAGCAGAGTTTCCCACCAGCTCCAGGATCTCGGTGGTCATGTGCTAGAGCATCGCCGCCAGGTTGACGGGGATTCGTCCACGGTGCCTCCTTTTCAACTCATTTGGGATTTTTGGGGCTGAAGTTGAGGTATATGAGCTTTTGAGATGTTAATCAGCTGCTCCTGGTTGTTAAAAACACCTTGTTGCCATGGTAACGCATCATAACAAATGCCCAAAAATAAAAAGCTTTCATTAAAAATCCTTCCAGCTGCAAAGCATCCGATACCAGAGGAAATAATCATTCAAAAAATGTGATTTACATCCAGAAAAAAAGAGGAATTAAAGTTTTCAAAAGTAATAACTCAGAATGAATGTGACAAAGCTGCTTCAACATTCAGCCACTCCAAGTGGCGCAATTCTATAAATGTATGTATTATGTTTATTTTTATTTTTTTTTCAGATGTTTATGCTTTAACCAGCCAAAGCTGGAGTCACATGTGTCTTCTACTGTTGTTTTGTGGGTTAATATTAAGGAACTACTGACATAACGTTATACTTATGTAGGTACCTAAAGAGCCTGTTGGCCGAGGGCCCCCTGTAGGCGATGTTATTGAAGAAGACCTCCAGCTCGTTGTCGTTATCAAAGTCTGCAGCAATAACAGTTCGTACTGGGGACGGCATGGAAAACTTCTGAGAGGCGATGTCCTGAGGAACAAGAACACATGCACACACCTTTACTGAAACGTTGCTGCTTTAGAAAGCCAAAGTAAAAAAAGCTTAATTTGAACTGAATATCCAGTTTGTTTAGTCTAGAATACTGTTAGCAGAGCATGTGTGTCTGATAGTAGACATAAAAGGCTCATTCTAAGGACATTTATTAACTTTTTTTTTTGGTTTGTCAGACAGATGTTTGACAGATGAGAGAACTCTGATAACCTGTTGTATATCTGCAGAAGAATTAGAGCTTTTAAAAGTTTCCTTTCTACAACCTGCTGTTTTCCAAATACTGGAGACTTTTCCATAACCTTAAGGTCACAATTTTAGACTTCCCTGAAAATAAACTCATCAATCAAAAAACTTGTGCCCAGTCCATGAGTTAGATGACTTTAAATAATGGTGTCGTGCAAAGCCTTTGACATAAAATAAGGCAGAAGTTTCCTCTCTGTTCAAGTTCGCCAAGAAAAGAAAAGTCTCCAGCAGAGTTTTTGCATGTGGAAGTAACAGATATGTCCTCGCTTCAGTGACACTGTGATAAGTCTGGAAAGAGTTATAGAGTGACCCTGCCCTCCCCCAGTATTTACTTCCCCATTTTAATTATAAGGCTCATAAAGCTGCAGAGGTAAGGGCCACCCACACTTGCATTCTCCTTCTCAGGTGAAGGAGAGAGGATGGCTGTCCAAGGCCTCGAGGTAAAAGGGCAAGAGCAGCTCCACATATCAACTAGTTAAGTTGATGTGGCATTAAAAAGAAAGAAGCTCTCAGCAAAAACAATACTGAGCCCAAAATTAAAAAGATTTACATTTGGTCTAACACGGGGGTGTCCAAATGTTTTCATACGTGGGCCAAAACTATTAAGATGAAAGGACTCGTGGGCCACAAAAATGTGAATTTAACTCTTAACATGAACAATATTTTGGAGAATGGACAATTTTACTACGGGCAGCACGGTGGTGCAACTGGTAGAGCTGCTGCCTCTCAGCGAGCAGGTCCTTAGTTCAAATCCCTGTCCAGGGGCCTTTCTGGGTGGAGTTTGCATGTTCTCTCTGTGCATGTGTGGGTTTTCTCCAGGTACTCCGGTTTCCTCCCACAGACTAAAAACATGCATGTTAGACTGATTGGTAACTCAAAAATTGTCCCTAGGTGTGATTGAGAGAGTGAATGGTTGTTTGTCTCTTTTGTCTCTATGTGGCCCTGTGATGGACTTGTGACCCGTTCAGGGTGTACCCCACCCCTCACACAGTGATTGCTGGACATGGGCACCAGCGACCCTCGTGACCCAAAATGGAAGAAGTGGGTAAAGATAATGGATGGATGGATGGATGGATGGATGGACAATTTTACTACAGTAATTTTGGTGGAGAAAGAGTTTTAAATTGTTGTAGTTCCAAAAAATTATAAGCCTCATAAACACTAAGCTTATATTTTTTTAATTAAAAAATATGTAATTTATTTGATTTGTTGGGTCTATGTTTGTTGTTTTTTCATGTTTGGAAAGTTCATTTTAGTCTGTTCTCAGCAACAAAAGCCTAATTTAAGTAAGTGTCTCTTTTTACAAGGGGGTTGATCAAACGGCCCAAAAGGCCACCAGATTGATAGAAAGTTTGATAAAGTTGATCAACTCGTATGTAGATGATACCACGTTATATTCATTGAAAAATGTTGAATTTCTCTACATTATTTTATCAACTACAATATTTAGCCAAGTTTTATGAATTATTATCTAAAAGTCTCCTTTTTGTTAGAAATCAGTAAAGTTTTTTGGTGCGTTGTACCATGAAGTTAAAATAAAAAGATTATTGCCAAAGGTTTATATTTTTGCTTAATATTGCTCATTTTGAGAAGATTGTTTTTCATCCGTTTTGCTGTTAAACCTAAACATTATATTAAAAAAGAGATTACCAACAAATTTGCAGAAAGTCTGCATCGTCCTCTTAAGCCTGCTGGCCACAATGATACCATTCTTAAACTGCAGCTGTGGGCCGCACATAAATCACTCCAAGGGTCGCAAAGGGCCCTCGGGCCGTACTTTGGACACCCGTGGTCTAAGATCTGACACCAGCAATGGCCTTTAAAATTTAGTAAATTGTACTGTGTTGCAATGAATTCCTCAACATCACTTTGTAATATCATGTCAAAGCAGTGTAAAGTTTTATGTCAATTTTGATTCCATATTAACCAAATAAACTTTTACAAGTTCCATTTGGCACTTTCTCCACAAATTTAAATCAATATTCCCTGTGTGAGAGCGAGACAGTGAATACGTGTATGTGTGAGGCGTATGCACGAGTCTGTGTGTACGTGTGTGTTCGAGCTACAGCAAGGCAAACCTCTTCAATAGATTTTAATTAAAGCATAAACAGGCCTAATCTGCACTTTGCACTACCAAGGCAAGCTGCTGGCTCAGCCTGATTTAATTGGTGGTTTACTGAAGTGATACAACAGCTTCATTATGCATGTCAAAGGCCTACATGGGGTTATTATTGGAGGTGTCAGCTTATGTGGGTGAAAAGGGTCTGAAATATGTTGTAGGACTGTAATTTAGGAGCTCGGTTTAAAACAATACCCTACTAGTCTTCAGGCGTTTGTAGGAGAAGATGCATGTGTGGCTCCAGTGGAACTGCTGCTGGACACATTAACCCTTTGTTTGACCCCTATAAAAATGACTCCTGTGACGTTTATCTCTTCGATAAAGGATGTAGAGCGGGGAAGTGACAGGTCTATCCCAGGATCTCCACAGGTTTACACACAGCACAGCTCAACTCTGCAGTAAAACACAACACTGCCTCACAGGAGTTGTCTGCAGAGTTGTTAAGAGAATAAATTGCCACCCACGTGTCTTTAAATACCACTTAAAACCCAAAGTGGGCCATGTGAGTGGTGATAATTCATTAGCCAATTGTTGGAACTGATAAGAAGGTGATTCCGGTGATAATGGGTGAGATAAGTTGTTTTTTGTGTTGCTTTCCCATTAAACATTGTTTGCTGTTAGAAGGGGGAGCATGAAGACCAATTATCACTTTTGGAAAGTTTTAACAACCGCAGCTGGAATGAATTACATCGTCTCATCAGATATATTTTGATCACTTTAGCTTAAAAAAAAAAGAACTATAGTGCCAGCAAACCCCTAGCACTCTTTTTTTACTTAAAGCTATATGACACAACAACTATCAATTATCTATTTAATAGATAAAGAAAGATTTTATTATGGCAAAACATGCAGATCTGTAACATTCAAAACCACCTTCATGGTAATTTAATCTAAGGGATGTATTTTGACTGAACTGATTTTTGTAGATTTCCAAAATCAGTTAAAATAAAAATCAACCAATGCCACTTTTTCAGGGTGATGTGTTTAATTAAAAAAAAAAAAAAAAAAAAAAAAAAAAATGTTAAGTTTGACAACAATTTTCAGGTTGAATTCTTTACTAAATGAAAATAATTATTAACAAATTAAATAGTTTGAAGCTTTATGCGGATTACCTGCAGCGATTCAACCTCAAATTCAGTAGTAATTAACCATTTTCATTAACATTTTATTACATTTTTTTTCCTCACTTGCTCTTGTATGAGGCGGACGCATTCTCTTCCCTCTCCTGTTCTCCTCCTGCTTTTTTGCTCTCTGTCTGTGGATTGGAGCTCCTATTTTACACATCTTCCGAAACAAAAACTGCTGTTATGGATCTGATCAGCTGGACTTTCAACGCAAATCTTTTCAAAAAAGCGTCAGGGTCCTGGAGAGCCCTCATGTCCCACTGAGAATCTCAGGAAAACACCAAAGACGTATACAATCGGATTTATGATAACAGGTTTCCTGCTTTTTGGAATCGGCTGGTTCCTGGTCTATCATCATACAAGAAGACAGTTGCAACTAATTTGGCCCTCGTCAGGCTGCCTGTTGGTGAAGGTTTGCTTTGTGCTTCGAGGACTCAAAATCAGCTGATTTACGAGCTAAACCGTAAGATGGAGGTGATTTGTGAGAATCACAGGCCACCTGCAGCTTTGGGACTCACCAGCATGTTGGAAACGACCTTGGAGGAGGCTTGTAAACATGGACCAGTGGAATGCCCACTAATCTGGCCATTTTAGATCTTGAAAATACCAGCAGGACTCAAGGCTGACAAGAAAAAACAGTCTGCCTGAATAAAATCAACAATTGCAGCTCATATGAATCTGACTCTGCCGGTTATCAATTTCTCCTGGGAAATGTGTAAACTAAGGAAGAGTTTTGTCTACTGTAACTCCCCACCCCACACCCCCCACCCTACCCGAGAATTTCTGTGGAGGCTTATCATAACTGTGCCGGCTGACCATCTTTTTATCAGGATTATGGTCTATCTGGAAGTGCTTCATGGATCACCTCGCTGTCAAATGCATATATAACGTGTTTATAAATGTGTTTGCTGGTAGAGCTTTTTGATGTCTTAAATCGTGGCCTGATAGGACAAGGTGTGAAGAGTTCTTTTTTGTAATGCCACTATCCTATCCTCATGGATTTTTCCCATTTTCTACCTAAAAAAGTATTCTGAAAAGGATAAGAGGCCGAGCTATCATAGCAGCAGGTGCACTCCACCCATCTTTCGGACCACTGTATGAACATATTATCGCTGTATCTCAGTACAATGATAATAAGGCTTATTCTGATTCTGTTTAGGGCAGTACGGTGGCGCAACTGGTAGAGCTGCTGCCTCTCAGCAAGAAGGTTGTCAGTTCAAATCCCGGTCCGGGGGCCCTTCTGGATGGAGTTTGCATGTTCTCTCTGTGCATGCGTGGGTTTTCTCCGGGTACTCCGGTTTCCTCCCACAGACCAAAAACATGCATGTTAGACTGACTGGTAACTCTAAATTGTCCCTAGATGAGAGTGAGAGAGTGAATAATTGTTTGTCTCGTTTGTCTCTATGTGGCCCTGTGATGGACTGGAGACCTGTCCAGGGTGTCCCCCGCCCCTCGCACAGTGATTGCTGGACATGGGCACCGGCGACCCCCATGACCCAAAATGGAAGAAGCGGGTAAAGATAATGGATGGATGATTCTGATTATTTTGGCTTAGTTCATGAAACAGACTTAATACTCTCTAAATAATAAGCATAAGTGTGACTGTTCTTTAATGAGATATCTTAATGCTATCAATATCTAAAAAAAATGCTTTCATAATAGCTCAATTACAACTCCAAACCCTTGTATTGCATCATAACCAGGGCCAACACAATGAAATTAATATGTTGAGTGATCTGTACAGATTAAAATGATCAGTACTTCAGTGTGTGCTGCGTGTCAGTCCCATCTAAGTAAATAATTGTGGTGAGATAACTGAGCATCTTCTTTGGATAACTCAATAACTGCAGAATAATGAACAGAAGAGTAATACTTTTCACCATTCTGTATATGTTTACTGTGTTTTACCTTCACTGTAATGAAATAAGTACAAATTGTAGTGCTGATCAAATCTATTTGTTGCCCACCTTGAATCTCTGTTTGCGGTTGTTTAGCTGAATATACAGACGATGAGGTCCGTTCCAGTTTCCGTAGACAATGTCAGTCCTGCCGTCACGGTTGAAGTCTCCCAGAGTCACCCCTCTGCCATGCTGCATGGGGTCTTCCACACCTGAAATGACACGATAAAAGGTTGTTATTCGCTAAAACCAACGTTGCTGTGTTGTTTCTTCACAAGCTTTACAAGATACATCAAGAATAAACAAAACTACAACCTCCTAAATTCCACCTGGCCTTACCAGCCTGCTGTGCCATGTCAGTAAAAGTCCCATCTCCATTGTTCTTAAACAGGAAGTTAGAGCCGTACTCATTGTCGCAGAAAACATCCGACAGAGTCTGACTGACAATAGGCCCCACCACGACACCTCGCCCCCCTGAATAGATGGACACGGTGAGAAAAAAAACAGAGCAGAACCTTTTAGAAAATAAAATGAAACGAAAAACATTTGAATCCCACGAAAGAGCAAAGTGAGAGAGAGCAACCCTGGAACAGAAGCAAGGGATCATTATTATGTTATTCCGGACCATTTGCTTAGAGCAGGTCAAGTATTTTTCTGACACAGACACTGATTCTGACAGGTTCAGGTAAACACAAACACAGCAAGCACAAGTGCAACCATGGCATTACAACACACGCTGAGAATCTAACCCAAGTCATTTTCTTCTTATGGAAAGATCACCATGACTATTCACTACACTCCCAATATCACCCCGTGATTTTCCAATGACTTTCTATTAAGTGAAGTATCCAACTGAAGTGTTTCACCTCAGACCAGCAGAGTTTAATTATGTAGCTGAAAGGGCTCGGATTGCCCTTCCTGCATGTGGAGTCGGTGTTGTGAGCCAGGACTGGCTCCTGATTTACTGGCCCGCTTCATCAGCCCAGACAAATATCACTCGCCCCCCACAGCCATAAACCACTAATGCCTCTCTTGAGATATGTAACCATCAGATATACAACTTCACCGGCTGTCCATCTGCTCTGATTAACGGCAGTTTGACGACAAAGCCATCCAGCGTACATTATTTATAGTGATTCGGAGCCAGCTTACTCTGCCCCCTTGGTGGATCAGATGATGTCCTTTATGTAAAAAGATCCAAAAATGATGAAGATTCATTCTGCTGCTCTCAAATACAAAGTCATGTCCCATTTTCAAAACTTACTGGGACATCGGCATCAAGGACTTTTCTGTGGTTACAATAAAGTGTCATTAATTCATGACGGCTTCAATTACGAAGAAACAAATCAGAGTTAAGGTGAGTGTTTTTGACATTTACTGTTCTGCTCCTCCATTAACCATACAGTTTGCCTGGTCCAAATCACAGAATGGAGCTGGGGAAGTGACAACTTTTAGGGACAATTACTAAAGAAATACTTACCTGTTTCAACACAGGGCATGCAGAAAAAAGAGGCTTACTTAAAACCAATCAGTTTTGACAAGATTTCAAACACAGCATTGGCAGTTTACTGTACAATATCAGAATCAGAATCAGAATCAGTTTATTATCGCCATGTCAATGAACGGGGTTCACAAACTAGGAATTTGCTTCGACATAAGGTGTGAATAGTAATAAAGTAAAATAAAGTAAAAATAAAGTAAATATTAAGTAAAAGTGAGAACATTACATAAGACATAAGCCTGTGTACACCCACAAATAAAGTAAAATTAAAAACATAACATAACCATATGTACACCCATACAATAGAAAACAATATATTATATATGTTAAACACGACGATACTAACTTTATGTGCAGTTTTTGATTCAAGCTGTTTAAACTGGAATGAGCTGATGAGAGTGGTGGTACAGAGGTTAGAAAAGGTGATTGAAAGGTCGTTGGTTCAAATTCATTGACTATTACATTAAACTGTACGTGGGAAAGGTGAAGCAACTTGCATCCACCCTCATTTGCCCCACACTGGGCCCTTAAGCAAGCCCCCTAACACACAGTGAAAGTCAGTCCTCCCTCTCTTTACTAAACGAAATTACAATTAAATCTTGAAAAGTCTCTTTTCCTTGTTTCCTCTGAAGCTCTAAAGTCTTACATAGACTTGCACTTCTGCAGATGTCACTTTAAATCACATCAAAGGTCTGGAAGCATCATGTCACACTTTCAGCATCAGGTTTTCAAACCCACCAATTAACTTGTCGACTCCAGCTTGCTCTGCCACGTTGGAGAGTGCGACGACACCGTGTGACAGGTCACTGGCTGCCTCATCTACTTCTATCAGAGCGTGAGGACCCACACTTCCACTGGCATAGTTGGCAATGTAGATTGCATACCGGCCTGTACCCTGTACAAAAATGAACAATTTATTTTCATCATTAAGCAACATATTTATTTTATTTATTTATTCCACATTGCATAGTGTTGTAAAATAAAATCTGTTTATGCTTGTACAATTTCTAAAGCTTAAAGTGTGACTAGTATACTTCCTGTTTCTTATTTGTGACAGCACCCACCCAACCGGACTTTGCACAATACACGTTGAGCAGGTGAATATTCTAGAAGCTAGAGTGAGTCACCGCCCTATACACGTTGAGCAAGTGAACATTCTAGAAGCCTTGACCAAGCACCGCCCGAATTTAGACTATAGCTGAGCAGCACTTCCTCTTTCAGCAGACAACGCAGAGCAAAGGCTGACTTCAGATCACTTTTACAGGTTGTATCGTTTGTCTCCATTGAATGCGCATTCAATGTTTTATTTTGTACTTTAACTAACATTTAATCAAATACAAAAGTAATCTGTGACTGTTAATCATTTAATTTATTAAATTTGATTATTGAATTTAAAGAGAGTTCGTCTGTCATGTTTCAGTGTCTGTACTTCCTTGATCCACAGTAAAACCAAACAACGAACTTTGGGGCGGATAGAGTGAGTCGATTTACGCCAACAATAGGAAAGCAGAAAACTCATGAAGAAATAATGCAGTTCAGCATTTTTCATCCATCATCTCACAAAAATACCGTATACGGTATTTCCCCTCTTTTTAAAGATCTCTGCAGCCACTCATGAGTCTGAGAAAAACAAGAAAATAAACTTGAGCGGCATTTTTTATTTTCATACAGACATTGGTAGATGTTAATCTTTGGGTAAAATAAAATTATCAGATGCTTCTGATCAACTCTAAATAACACCGATGAGCAGTTCAAACATGATGATAAAGTTTTTTTAAAACCTGCAACCCAGCAAATGTAACCAATCCACTTATCACCAATCTCCTTAATGTCCTGCTTAACATTCAGTCTCCTCCTTATTTGTCATAAAGTGCAACATAATAAATAACAATAAGTCAGTAATTTAAGTCTCTTGTTTGGTGTATTTTTAGAATCAGAATCAACTTTATTGTCATTGCACAGTTAAGTACAGCAAAATTACGTTCCGTACAGCCGTCCGAAGGGTAGACAGAAGTGTACCGGGGCTGCAGCTTCTATGAAGAGCTGCCCTTATTCTTAGATAAGAAAAGGGAAAGAACACACGAGGAGAGAAGGTATAAAAAAAAAAATCTCACACTGTGTCCTTGGACAAAGGGTAAGGCAGCAAAAAAATCTACCTCAGAAAAAGCAACATAGATAGACATACTGATAATACATTTTTTTTTGGGGGGGGGGGGGAGACAAGACGGTGAGATTGTCCATGAACACTTCCAGATAGTTTCCATAGTCCTGATAAAGGATGTTACAGTGTCTATTAGCCGGTACAACTCTGGAAAGGTCCACAGATGTTCTCGGGGGTGAGCAGGAGCAGAGATTTTTGATTTCCGTATCCACCAGGAGCAATTTGAGATTAAGTTGGCCTGTCCAAGTCTGAGCTGGGAGGTCAGATTCAGATAATCAACAACTGTTTTGGGTAGGCCGACTACCGATTTCATGTCTGCCTTCTTCTGCTGGTACACTCAATGGTGAATCCAAAACAGCCAGATTTGTGGATATTCCGCCGGTCTGTACTTGTTAGCCTTCTCCAAGGTCGGTTCCTTCATTCTGGCGAGTTCTAGAAGCTGCAAGTGGCCCACGATTCTCAGAAATCGGGTTCAGCTTACAGTTAAATCCTTCACATTAGGCAGACAGCCTCATTATTGCCAAAACTGCTGCCAACGTCTTCCGAATTTGTTGATATCCCACTTATCAGGAAAAACAGCAGAAACCCTGTTATCATAAATCCAATTATATATGCGTCTTTTACATCCTCAATGGACAATACAGACAGACACATCATCTTTCATTCACCCCAGGAATCCATGACATATCCAGCTGCATGTGTCCCTTTAGGGCATGAGGGTTCTCCTGCACCCTGTCTCCTTGTCGAGAACATTTTATCAAATGCGTCGCTAACCAGATCCATAATTTACGATTCGGAGAATGTGTAAAGAGAGGCTCTGATACACAGGACAAAGAGCAAAGCAGGAGAATGGCAGGAGAGAGAAGAAGAGCGACCAGCTTCATCGAGGGCAAGGGTGTTTTATCTGATGGAACTATATTTTCAGACACAGAAAGCTCTGAGATAAGTAAGAAAACTTATCAAATTTACATACATTTATGAAATAATCTGACGGAGAGATGGAGAGATGGATGGAGAGAACATCTGTAACATTATCCATTGCATTTTTTATTTATTTTTTTTTAGATACCCTGGCTTAAAATGTTACTTTGAATCTTGTTTGGTTTTTGTCTGTTATTTTTCTTAAATCAATTACAATAAATTTATATAAATCCTTATGGAAACAAAGGTCAATCCAAACACTTTTCTCAAAAGCATAGTATAATATACCATTCATTTTGTCTAAATGAAATCAAATTTAATATAATTTACATCGTTCTCAAATAAAAAAAAATTGTCTAAAAAAGTGATTAGGAAACTAATTAAAAATATATTTTGTCATATAGACATTTAAATTTAGTCTATTTTTACCAAAAAAAAAAAAAAAAAAAAGATCATATCACCACCATTACCTGGATGCAACTTTGGAACAGCATTTCAATACCTTTAGAATTGTGTTGTAAATACCTTAAGAATCTCAAACAAAAGAAAAACAAATTAATCTCCAGCATGATTACATTATTAGCTCTAGAATTGATTTGCTATACTCTTATACCAGTCTATGCTGCTTTTGTCTGTTATTTAGTTGGAAAAAAGTATATTTTTAGATAATAAAAAAAGATTGCAATATGTGTGTATATTGTTACAAGTGCGCAACAAAATAATGAGCTAAAATTGTTTTTAAAAATGACTTTTTAAATCCATGAAGATTATGACACCTTTATTTGCAACATCTTGCAAAAAGATCTGAAGCTCTCGATTTGGACCTCTCTAAAAGGATTTTAAGCTACTGCTAAGCTCAATGCAAAAATCAACGCAGACATGTATGTTCCTGTTTTTAGTATCTTACAATGGTTTATAATGTAGCATGTTTTTTTTTTATTTTGTTTTATCTCACTTCTTTTATATACTTTTCATTTTATATGCTTTCATATGAATAGTTTTTTTTGTTGTGTGCACCTCATTTTGTTTAAAACAGGTCTCTCTTGTAAAAGAGTCCTCATGACTCAATGAGACTAACCTGTATATAAATAAACTTGAACGAATGAAAAAAGCAGCTTTTAAAAAAGATTTCTAAGTTGGCACATCATTTACATTTTGATCATATCACTATTAGACAAAAAAAAAAGTCCAATATTTGCACAAAAAGTTAATGGCAGACCTGTTTGTGTGACTAAAATAAGACTGAAGTTACTGTAGATATTTTGCTGAAAAAAATATTTGTCACTCTTCTTTTTTACCCTTGCAAAGGTCGGACACCTTTTCTTAATCAAACCAGTTCTTTCCTCTCTTTAACTTTGCTTATCCTGCTTCTTGCCCCTTACTACACAACCCACCCTGACTTCTCCTCAGTCAGTCTCCCTCGCTCGTTCGTTCTTCGGAGATTAATTTCACACTCCATTATCAGTCAGAGTCCCTGCAGACACAAACTCACAGACGGAACCACACTAATAGACTATACACTCAATTTCAATGAGCTTTCGCACAGATCTACATATTTCCATCAATGCAAACACACGTGCACATACTGTATGCAAGACCACACAAACAAAAACCATTTCACTGCTTGTGATGCCATTACTATAAAAACAGAAAGGCAAACAAGTCAGGTTGTATAAATTAGGCTGTGCTGTATACGGAGATGTTAAATACATTCACACTTTCAGAAGAAGAAAAAAAAAAGAGCTAGAATAAAAGACCTGAAGGCCACCGGCTGTTACTTAAAGTTAAAAGTCAATGATTTTTCAATAAGTCTTCACTCCAGGCTAACTTCTGTCATCAGGGTTTGCAGTATGAAGAGTACAGCCTGCACAGTGCATGTTGCTGCTACAGTTGTGAGTATCCGTTCCATCAATCTTCCTGAATGTGTCATTCTTTGGCTATTTAAAAAAAAATTATACCATATTTTCCAGCGTATAAGTCGCTCCGGAGTACAAGTCGCATCAGTCAAAAAAAGCATCATGAAGAAAAAAAAAATAACATATATAAGTCACGTTGGTGTATAAGTCGCATTTATTATGCATCACTGCTGACCTGCTGTGTTTATTATGAATTTATTTAATGGTCAAAACAGCTTCTTTTCGCCTGGGCGGCACGGCACCATCCATCCATCACGATCAGAGCCGCTAGCTCTCCAGTGTTCCTCCGCCTGCACCAGCTGAGTGAAGCGAGTGCAAATGGGAGGACTCGCTGTTGCAGTTCTTAGAAAATGAAAGCGTCAGTCAAAAATTTGCGTTATGAAAATGAAAAAAATTTACGTATATAAGTCGCTTCGACGTATAAGTTGCAGGACTGACAAATCTATGCAAAAAACTGTGACTTATACACCGGAAAATATGGTATATTGTAACAATTATCAGTTAATGGAGTTTTCAAAACTTGCATCTTTTCTCCTGCCTGCCTGCTCCAGGTGAACTGATCCATCAGATCAACCCCTCAACATGTCACCTTCATCTGTTCGTTTAGGAATAATATTGAGATGGCCATTCCAAGGAGACTAAGAGATGACAAATGCACCTCTTTAGCTTAAAGATAACACTTTATTTATGAGCAAACGAGACCGAACACATTAAATACGCAGCTGGGAAGCAGTATGTAATGGCTTTGGTCATGCAACCTTCTGCTTTTGTTCCATATGTTCTCCAACACAACATGCTCAGTAATAGGAACAGTGGATCTGCTTGAACTGGCACATCAGGACTTTGGCTTCTTGTAAAAGAAGTGTGCAATTAAAGACATATCTTTCCAATCTGTTTGGCACCTGTACATCTACTAGTGCCCAGTGGTATGAGACGGAAAAATAAAAAACCCTATTGTAATCCCTGTAGTCCTTTTCCTCTTATTACTCTTTTTATCCAAACTCCTGATTAAACTGAAAATTGTATGAGTGTGAAAGAGATAAGGGACAAAGAGAGAGCGTGTCAGTCAGAGGAGGGAAAAGGAATATAGCCAAGGATGGTGGAAAAGGGGGATAAAAACAAAGTAAGTGATAGGAAGCAAAAAAAAAAAAATTGCTACGAGCAGAAAGCAGCAGTGCACAGTCATCACTCCCCCCTCATACAATGTCCTGTAAAACAAACGAGCCTTTGCTTCTGTAATTACACTGGTGCGATGGACAGAGGAGAGAAAATGGCCCACCATTCCCCCAAATGAACTGTCAGAGCACATGCTGAGAGGGGCGGTGTAGGCAGGGCATGAGTTATCACTGGTAAACAAACAGAAGCACCCGTGCATGAGGAACCAACGTGTGTGCCCGCAGAGCACATCTACAGCTCGTGCTGCACTCTGCGCTGTCTGTGCACGCGTGCGCAGTACCTTCCTGTCCACACACGCCACTGAGCGCCCAGCCATCGGGTTGGATACGTCTCGGTGCTCGTTGATGTCGTCATTCAGCAGATCCTCAAAGCGTCCATTGCGAAACTTAAACAGCTTGTCAGAATATGTTGCCCGACCTCGGAGAAACAGAGAAGCAGAGTTCAGGAGTAAATAGACTTTACGCATCACGAGAACCATGAAAGAAAAGATCAGTTTGCTGTGGTTGAGATAAAATCTTAGAGTTTAAGGAGTGGAGTGCTGCAGAGCGGCTCCAAAACTCTCCGTATGATTAATAGCAGCATTGTTATCTGATGAGATAACCTTAGTTACTGCTTCAATTACTTCTTGTCTGTATGTAAAGGAAGCCTAACCACTACCTGTACAGCATGCATTTGTACCAGTTTGTGCCGTACCAGAGAAAGCATTATTGGTGTTAAGTACATAAATCTCCTCCCGCCCGTCCCCATCTATGTCACACGCTGTCACTCCAATGGCGTTGCCTTGACGGTCTCTCAGGGCGTAAAATGGGGAACTGCGGTCGTCAACAGCGATGTTGACAAGCCTTTTACTCTCCTTGTCATACTTTAGCACCAGGTTTGGACCATTGTAGCTGTCAACAAGAGGAGACAGTCAGTTGCACTGCAGTTGTTTTATTTTGGCTACATGTTCAGAAGTTGTAACAATAAGGACTCAAAACATGCAAAACAATGATCGTAAGTTACTTCAGTTTATGTATAAATATTTTACCACCGTTATTAATTTCAGAATTTTGTACAAATCAGTTTTGAAATTACAGTGGTTTTATATTTGTTCATGGCCATAGTTTCTCCTCAGCTCCTCTGCGTAACATTCACACCTGTAATTCATTAGTAAGCATCTCAGCTGCTTTGACTCACCAATCAACCTTCCCAGCAGACAAAACTGTTTATTTCCTGCTTTGTCAATACCTCATACGTACACAATCTCTACACCTGTTTGTCAATCTCTTTTTTTTTTTTACCTGCACTTCCTAATAATGTTTTCACTTAATACATTTTTTTTTTTTAATTCTACCTGTCTGCCTGCACTGTCCAATTTGAAAACCGTGTGCAACTGTTTGTTATATGGGAAAAAAAAATGGTTTGAGGAATTGGCAAAATCATAAAAATATATTCAGACGTTAGGAGTTCTGTTGTGTACAGTATGGCAGAACAGTGGTTCTAATGCTTCACGGCAAGAAGGGTGCAGGGTCACCAGCTGACTTTTCTGTGTCGAGTTTGCATGTTAGCCTCGTGCATATGTGGTTTTTCTCGAGTACCGTATTTTTTGCCCTATAAGTTGCGTTTTTTGACATAATTTGCATGCCCTGCGACTTATAGGCTTAAGCGACGTATTTATGGATTTTTTTCCACCCATATTTATAAATCAATTTTTGGCTGAGATATGACCATTTTCATTCATTCTGACTGAAAAAAATTAACACTAGCATTTTCAGTCACTAGAGGGCAGTCGAGTAGTAAGGCATGCCGTTGAATCATGTAATAGGTAAAAGTGGCTATAATGACAAATTCAAAAAAGTTCAAGACAAAAACAACTGTACTTTTTTTTATTATACTTTGCTTTATACTTTATTGTTTTTGTCTTGAACTTTTTTTGAATTTACCATGTCCTGGATGACTGAGAATCTTCACCAGCTATTAATGACATAATCGGCTTGCCATACCCTGCCACCTTTGTTCTTCTCACTGCTTGGAGCAACCGTCAAATCAGCTTCATTTCGCTGCACCGCCCCAGCGAAATTCAGCTAATTTGACCATTAAAGTGCATTTATTAAGTAAAGGTTCAACTGAGACACAACTTTGCTATAATTTCAAGCAAACAAATAATTGTTTTTAGGTGTTTATCTTGTTAAATTTCCAAGAAACGCACAGCAACTCGTCCCTCTGTGTTCCTACTTCCACATATCAGCTTTTGAAATACAGCTGATTTGAATGTCAAAGTGCATTCATTAAGCAAAAGTTAAATTGAGACACACCTTTACTATAATTTCGAGCAAACAAATGATTGTTTTTAAGTGTTAAACTTGTTAAATTCTTGTTAAAGTCCTCCCGTGCACGCTCCTGCGACTGCCGCAGCCAGTCGATTTTTGGCACAACACCGGCCCACGTTTCCGGTTTGTCAGCGGTGACACGTAACAAACGCGATGCATCAGCAGTGGCACATAGTAGATGTAACGTATACAGCGACGCAACATATTTATGGATTTTTCCACTTTATTAGACATATCTGGACTGATGCAACTTATAGGGCAGAGAGACGTTTACAGCGGAAAATACGTTATTATGGTTTCCTTCCACAGACTAAAAAACATGCATGTTAGCGTCATTCATAACTCCAAATTGTCTCCATGTGGTTTTGTGATGGTTTTGTCCAAGGTGTACCCTCCTCTCACACAAGGACTGCTGGAGATAGACACCAGCTCCCCCTGCAACCCAGAAACGAAATGCAGATAAAGAAAATGAATGGATGGACGGATGGTGAAGGGACATAATTTTATTTAAATTGTATTGTTTAGAACTTAATTGTTGGTATTTTAATATCCTCTGTTATTTTTTTTTTATATTTTGTGCGATTCCTTGTGTATGTTCCTTTGTACTGAAACTCCGGCACAACAATTTCGTGCAGGATCAATAACGTTCTATCTTATTTTATCTTATCTTATTCTGTCCTGTAGGATCAAAACATAAACTAAGGAAGTTTCACAGTGATTTCTATGAGTTAAAACTGTCTCCACCATTTACCTCTGCTGCCCTTTGTACAGAAAATATTACTACTTCTATGGTTTGTTTTAACCAACTACCCGTAAGTTTTATTCATTTATCAGAGTTCATTGTTGGATCAAAAATTTCTGTGTAGCTAATTTTATCGTTGAACATGTTTCCTTTTCATCAAATTATTTACTTTATTTATTTTGACACTATCCTGCTCACTCTTTGTTCCAGTGGACGGACCCTGTTCACAATTTAAGACATTGTAGGCCTGTGAGCATTATTGTCTCTTTTATCTTTATTTTTTATCTTTTTATAAACTTTTACTATTCTTGAGTTGGAGAAACGCACAAGAATTCCAATGTGTTTATATTATAATGTATCTGCGCAAATGATAAGAAATCATATTCTATTCTTGTTATTTTGAGGAGTGGTGGTGCAGAGGTTAGAGAAGGTGGGCCTGTGATCAGTAGGTCGCCAGTTCAACTCCCTGCGCCGACAACATCAAAATGTGGGTGGGAAAGGTGAAACACCCACACCTGCATCCACCCTCATTTCCCCCACTCTGGGCCCTTGAGCAAGGCCCTGAACCCCCACCATCTGCTCCCCCGGGCGCCCTAAATAGCAGCTCTCTGCAACATACAGAGGGCTGTGGTAGCTCGGTGGTCTGCTGCACCCGGCGTAAAAAATATCGCCAATCTTAGTGCGAGTTAGTTCGCTGTGGCGACCCCTGAAGAAGAGAGCAGCCGAAAGAAGAAAACATTTTTACTTAGTTAGTGTGTCTGTTTAAGACCAATTTCTACAAAATTAATCCACCCAAGGAGTGAAGATAAAAATCTATTAGACACACATAAATATGTTTAGTGTATGATAAAACTTCAGATCAATGCATAGTTCTTTTTTAAGTTTATTAACACTGTTTTACACATGCACCTGAAAGCTAACCAGGGACCAAACACTTTTGTGTCTTCTTAAGAAAAATGAACAGAAAAATAATTCAACCTTTCTAAGAGCATTTGGGCCATTTGAGGGAAAACTGTTAATCTGTTTATTATAAAAATGTCCTTGGCTTGATGCGATTTCTCCACACAGATTGATCTCACACCAAACTAAAAACTAAGCAGGTTTTTCAAAACACTGACTGACTTGGACTAAAACCTTTTTATGACACTCTAATAAAGTTCTTCAGGTGGTGTCACCTAAAATCATGCCATCAGTCTCAGGAGACAGAGACAACTATCATCACAGCAAAGCAAAACCTGACCCATTCTGCCCATTCCTGATCCTGTTGGGTCTGGGAGAATCTGCTCTGCTGAACTACATTAAAGTCTAACATAAAAGGCTCGTGTAATTTTAAGAACATTTTTATGCTTAACTATATTAGCTCACTTTTTTTTTTTTTTTACAAGGATATCAATTACTGACAAATTCAAGGGGTCATTTTCCCACTGGAACTAAAACAAGTTGTGATTTTATCCAATAACATGCAGATAAGAAAATGTTCAGCTACTAAAATGTGTGTAGTTTGAATCTAGGAAAATATTCCCCAAATAAATTAATTCTTATGTTTGAAAAAAATGCCAGAGGCCGTTTGCTTGAGACACATTTTGAAGAATAAAAATTAATGTAATTAAATTAGATTTGAATTAAATAAATGTGAATAAATACAGCTGGGCAGCTGGTGCTGAGTGACAGCAGTCAGATGTGTATTTCATCAAAAATCTAGTCATCAATTTCAGAGCAGCTTTTTCTAGAACTTAAAATGTGATTAATGGCTCGTTAATGTTTATTCTTACTACTTTGACTAATATTCCTACTTCACAGTTTTTCACTTATCGCTGGTCTTCAGGATACAGATCCCCCACGATAAACAAGGGACTACTGTAATAACTATGATAATTTTAAGATGTGACCTCTGTGATGGAGTTTGATGGTTTGAAAATAAGCATCAGGACCTATGTATGTATGTATGTATGTATGTATGTATGTATGTATGTATGTAT